CAAAAAATTCGCATTTTCAAATACAATTTAAAAGTGTTTTTATTATTATTTCTTTTATCACAAAACTGATATTAATTTTTGCTAGATAATTGTGTGATCCGTTTTTATGCAAAAAATATAATATTATATTATCTATGTTTTGTTAGAAATGAAATAAATATGATGACGAGTAAAACGGGTTTACAAAGCATAAAAAAGGGATTCCGTGATAACGCGAGACTGGCTTTCAATGTGTTAAAACGTATAAATTGTCAACTAAACGAGTCTGCATTTTAATTACGCAACTTTTTCAAACTTAAACTCATCCAAGATAACATTCTAAACAATAATAATGAAAATAAATGCGAACAACATTAGAAACATTTAAACTAGCAACCATTTTCCTTTTCCTCGTATTAAAAGCAACATTGATAAGACGAAAATCCTTACGAGAAATGTTTTGTATAATCAGAACTAGGAAAAGGAGTCAAGTATGTAGGATAACGATCATAAAATCATACAAAATCCATTTCTTGCTTACACATCGAGATATCGTATCTCGAACCATGAAAACGATATATGCTACATTTCTCAACTAACTTAGAAAACGTCTTTTTTCAAAAAAGAAAGAAAAAAATCTCTTCGATTCCCAACAGTGATGTAAAATACCATTAAATAATCCTTCACTGTTTTCTATTTATCTCTCTTCTATTTTTTTCTATCCTTTTTGTCCAAAATAGACGCGTAAACATTTCGACAAGCGCATTAAGAAACTTGCACGATCGGTGTTAACGTTTAACGACTGAGAAATGTAAAAGAGTAAAAGAATATAAAAAAAAAAAATAAAATAAAATAAAAGTTATCTCGTTCAGTTGGTGTCTCATGAAAAAGGTGTACCATTTCTTATTTTATTTTCTTTTTTTACACGTTCATTCGCGCTTCGTATGAGGACGTCTTCGAATATTGCCTTTAGCTTTTAAAAGAAAAAAAAAAATTGAATATACGGCTTGTGGTGTTTGGTAGAGAAGGAAGGCAAGCTGATTGTGAGTAAGTGTACGACGATAACACAACATTCCATCGGTGAGAGGGCCAGTAATTAAGACCTCAACTGGTCCCAAAGGATTTTACTTCGAACTTCCACCACTTCTTGTTGTCTTTTCTCTCTCACTCTCTCTCACACACACACACAGAAAGAGACTATCGATATACATGATACTTGTGTATGTATCTTCACATGTATATATATATATATCTTATCGAAGTTACTTCGATTCGATGTTCGGAACCCGGTTTATATGTACGAGTGTATATCGAAGAGAGCCTAGGTGAGGTATACCAACCCAAGGGAACACTTCCAACTGGAAACACGTCCGAGCCAATGGGAGGTTCGATGGCCTCCTTCGAAATTACCAACCAACCGACCGGTTCTCTGCTCTACGTCGAAGAAGAAGAAGAAGAAGAGGAAGAGGACGATGAGGAAGACGATGGTTTACGCGTAGATCGTCGTGGGATGGATTATAGTCGCTTCAACGATCAGTAGTAGTAGTAGTTTCCTCTCTTCCTTGGATACGCGAGGATAGTTCCAAGACGACGACTATGACGATGACAGTCCCTTTGAACTTTCCCGATCGATATTAGGAAGTTATCGCCCAACGCGTTAGATATTACGGCTTGTTTAATCGACAGAATTCAGAATTTTGATTTAAATGAAAAAAAAAATTGCTATTGAAACTATCAAAGAATATAAGAAGATAAGAAACACACTATCATTTTTTATTTTAACCCTTATCGATCGTCAGGTTTTTATATTGATAATTTTCATTAACATAAATTATAAATGGTTTTGGTAAATGTTCAACAAAATTGTCAGATATTATAAGAATAATTTATTTATTTATTAGAAATGATTTATTTCTTTTTTTTTTTTAAGGTGTACTACAACTATATAAAAGTATTTAATTATTTAATTATTAATAAAATATGTTTTATTTGTAATTCACTTGTTACGTGACTTATGACCGATAAGGGTTAAAACGTTCGAAGAATCTTTGCTTTTGTCTGTATATTTATTTTAAATTTTAATTTTACTTTATTTTATTAAATAAAAATAAAAAATAAAACGTGTGTGCATATCACACAAGTTAGAAGTGAAACCTTCAAATAAACAAGTTTCGAGGATTATTTATTATATAATATTATTGTAATATTATTTGTACTTTTAATTTGTAATTATTTATTTAATTAATAATTTAATTATAAAAATGCGCGCCTGTTTGTATGCAACCCACCAGACACATTTTGAAAATGTTGCTTGCGAGCGCCATCTATTGGGACGGAATATTTTTGTAGTCAAAACTGTTTATACACGTATGTATGACGAGTTGTCTATTTTTCGGGCAGAAACAAATTCCGTCCCGACAGATGGCGCTCACAAGCAACATTTTCAAAGTGTGTCTGGAGGGTTGCAGTCATACAGGCGCACATTTTTATAATAATTACAAAGAAAGTAAATAATGAAACACTTTAAAAAATGTTTGCAAATCAAATATTTTTATAAATAATGATAAAAATTGAACTCTAATATTGTAATTAATTTAGAATAATATTTAGTATTTTATATGAAATAAAAATAAAAAATCATGTATGCAGATCATACGTGTTAAAAGTGGAACCTTCAAAAAACTTAGTTTCGAGAGAATGAGATGCAGAGTATCAAGAGTAAGATAATTGTAGGATTTTTTTATTATAATATTGTTACCATATATATCAAAGGAAACCAGTATGATCTTGAGATGGGAGTAGCTGACAAAAACTATCACTTTCTAAATTCTATTTTAAATTAATATTGTCGAATTTGCAAATTGTTTTTGTTTTTTTGTTTTTTTTCAATCTAATAGTCAACGATGTATAAAATTGACTTGACGAAAAATAAATGACACTTTTAAGATCAAATATGTTCAACAAAATAATCGGAATAGGCGAAACTAGATATAACCTTTAATCGATCCGTTTACATTCAACGATTCTATTAGAACGGTGTAATGTTTACTATCGATGACCGTTCGTTAAACTGACCATCAAATTATCAACATTCGACGACTCTCTTGAATTACCAAATCCTCGATTAACCAAAACGAAAATTACAACCTAGTTTATAAATACGTGGATATATTTATTTCACGATAATAGATAGTTCAATGTTATATATAAATAAATCATACCGTTTGATCGTTTCGTTACCTTTACATGAATTTTCGTTCACCCCCATTCTAAAGAAGTTTTCACTTAAAAAAAAAAAAAAAAAAAAAGAAAGAAAATTAGAGAGAAATAATAGATAAAAGGAAGAGAAACCTCTGACCTGAGAGGAATATTTGAAAGCTTTACTTTTAGTTGAAAACAATCTTACCGCAATCGCGATTGTGGTAACGCGCACGAAGCAAAGTTCCTTGAATTTTCGGTGGTTTACACCCGGTCAATGCCATAGAAATACTAAAAGAGACATCATCAATAGGAGGGCAGATGCGGAAAAGAACGTTCAGATTTCACGTAAAGGAATAAGAAAGGAGGGCCAGTCAGCTTGTTTCACGTTCGATCAGCCGCGAATAACGCATTCGAAGATGAGAGAGAGGTGGGTTCGTTATTTTGATAGCCTTCCTTCGATGTTCGACCATGCATTTAGGATCTTTTAGACTTGAATCGTATGTTACGCTTGAATTAAGATCAACTATCGAATTCCGTTTGCTTCAAAGTATTTGTAATCGATCAGGAATACGATATTTTTTATTTCTTTCTTAGTATAAATCCGATATTGTTTTGTATAATTCATTTAGGAAGAGATTAACATTTTCATGTATTAAAGTAACAGACCAAGTTGTTAGGGTTAAGATTATAATATTGTGGTAGTGTTTGTATTATAACGATAGACAATAATGGGATAGTAAAGGTGCTTTGCTAAGACGTTGTGAGTAAAGGATGGAATATAATGGTAGGAGTATACCACCGACGCTAAAACAACTTTTAGACGTGATTTCGAGCATGTAATTGGGCAGAACCTTCTGCTCGAGTATACTAGGATCTATAGTAAATTTCGGGATTTTTTTTTTCTTCGTGCATAGGGTTCGATCAACAACGTTCACGGGTCCACGAGCAATCTCAAAAAGGATCCGTATCCTGATCATGAACGATAGCAACATCCTAAATATTTTGATCTCTCTAATAGACGTTTTTGTTGTATACTGCATCGTCTTTTTTTTTTCTTGAACCTTTGTAACGTTTGTTTACTTTATTCTATTATCGAATAAAATAATTGGTTTGTTTAACAATATATATATAGTAATTTATTTTATATATAATATCGTCTATAAACAATTCATATATCGTGTTCGAATTTATTGTTAATAAAATATAACATGAATAAAAAAGTTACAAGTGACATCAGAGAATTTTCTAACGACACTAATACGTTAATAATTGCTCAACGTTACGTCGCGGTATCCGCTTGCTTACCACCCCTTCATTTAAACAAGAGCACACCCACGTCGTTACCAACTACCGTATATAATTACGGAAAACGCAGACGTTACCTTCGGTAAACGCTTGTTTGCTCGTTGATCATTAGGCTGAATTTGCGTTAATAACGAAATCCTCAGCAAAACGAGAGACCCCAGCAATCAAAATACAATGCTACAAATGAGACCACCTATAACGAATTCCGTGGCTCACGTGTTTTATCGTGTACGATGAATTAGCTCGTCGAAATTCCATTTCTACGATTTTAATAATGTATCGCTTCGTGAAAATCGTATTTTTTTTTTTTTTTTAATAATAATTCAAGAGTAAATAAAATGTATTTCCGTAATTTAAAATTCTTTCTCCGCGTAAATAAATTAATTTCATTTTGAATATCGAAATAATATGGTTGGAGTAAAATTTCACGCATTGCGCACAATTGAAAGCACGCTTTTAATTGCTTTATATAAATAACATTATTTTAATATTGTTATCATAATAAAAATATAAAATCATTGTGTTAAATATTTTAATACAAATTAATAAGAATATTTCATTAAAACTAGTTTTTGATACATTTGTAAGTCGTATTAACAGCAATTAAGTTAATATAGCAATACATTTTTCAATCTAAATAATTTAAAAAAAATAACATTTCACATATAAACATCAATCACAATAAACATCACACATTAAGCATCACCACCTCCAATTTCTTTATTAATTTCTGAGTTTTTCCCGCATTTGCAAGTTTTCTTTTCACTCTCTTTGGAAAATAGATCTGTATCACCGCCGGCAGAATTCAATTCTTTTGAAGATTTATCCGACATTAATTGAGAAGATTTTTCGGTAGAATTGTCCACAGGACTATCATTTTCTTTCCCTTGCAAGACATTAGGCAAATCGTTATTAGAAGTAATTGCTTTGGGAATATTTGTAGGTAGTTCCGCAATAATCTAAAACAGTGCTAAATTAAATAAAAAGTTATACAAATTTTATTATAAATATTTAAAAAAAAAAAATAATTAATACTTCGCGAATTAGTTGAATTGTTTGTCTTTTTTGAGTATCATCCTGAGGTAATGCATTCGTTCTAGGTGCCGAAAAGGAACAACTTAATCCTCTCAAAGGTCCAAATTCAATAGATTTTGCTCTAAGAAGAATAATTCCTATAACCGTCAATATAGGAAGAAATGAAAATAGAAATACTTGCATCGGATATTTTAAAATAAAAGGCAATTCAGCTGAAAGAATAACATTAGTATGATTAATATCGTTTTTTGAAAATTTCATATAACGTTTAATTATTATTTTCATATAAAACCAGTTAAAATTCTTACCGGTTGAACTATTTATAAAGTTAGACAAAGCTTCTCCAAGAAGTGAACCTGGTTGTACAATTATCGAGAATAAACAACGTGATAAGACAATAAAAGGTGTTACCTGATAATTTGGATTAGACATTCTAGCTTTGTAATATTTTTCGCATTCATCATTACCAGAAGCTATAATCAAAAAAAAATATATATATCTTATTTTTTAATATTTAATACAAAATTTCTATTCATTTAAATACTTACGGAGAACTGAATGCCGGAATCTTTCCCAAAAAGTCATTTCATTTGGTTTACAAGCTACAGGCATATCAGTGTATTTAACTTGAGTTGCAAAAAATTCAGCCTCAGCTTCCTTTTAAACAAAATATGATAAAATATTTATATTCATTGTCTTAAAAAGATCGATGATATTAATTTGTTTGTTGTTTTAATTTTTACCCTTAATAAATTCAAATAAGTCATAGTATAGCTAACAGTAAAACCAATAACGAGAATAAAAAAAATCGCACGACGATATGATATTTTGGTGCATAATATTATAACAGCCAGTACACAGGAAGCAATAATAATCATTTCGTTCTAAAACATAAAAAATAAAGTCAAATATTACACTGTGTATCATATCATTGATATATAATTATAAAACTATAATTGTGGTAATGCATGACTAACATAACTATATACAAATTTCAACACAGATTGAATAATCCAATTAAAGTTGATCGTATTTAAGACAATATCAACAAGTGAAGGCTCCAATAAAATTTCACTAAAGATGAGATCAATTTCTTTTAGAGAATAATCTCCTATTTCCACTTTCTGAAGTTTTTCTATTTGCATTTTTGTTCCTTTTATAAATAAATGTCCCTCTACCAAATCATCATCTGTTCCCATCTGTACAGTATTAAAATATACAATTTTTATATTATTATTATTATTATTATTTTTGTTGTTGTTAATGTTGTTCTTATTAATTTCTATTATACCTTTAAGTTCAAATTCATCAATAACATCCTAATTAATCTCACATAATATATTTTGAACCTTTCACAGTCTTCAATAGATTTTTTACATTCTTCTTCTTGATCAGATATTTTATCCGTCTTCTTTGGAAATATTACTCTGTAACATTAGATAAATAAATTAATAAAAAAAATAGGATAAAATTAGGTAAAAAAATAAGAAATTAATTGTACATATACCTATCCTCTATTACTTTTTTACTGGCTCTGTCATAAAAGAAAGAATGTGGATCAATGAAGTCTTCTACTTGGTACCTAAAGACAAGAATAGGATCACACAATATTAATAAATAAATTCTATAAATGATAATTTATCTAAGATAAATTATTATATTTATAATCTGATAAGATTAAATTGATAGTTTTTTGCTTACAGATCATCTTCATGCTTATCTTTATCCATGCTTTCGTTAAATTCATCATTCCTTTTAGATTCGAAATCTGAATAATCGTTTATATCTCTGAAAAAGTATAATTAAATTGTTATATTGTAAATATTTCGTTTATATAAATGAATTGTATAAATTATCAGATTAAATTTATAGTCTTTACTTACAGATCATCTTCATGTTTATCCTTATCCATGCTTTCATTGAATTCATCATTCTTTTTAAATTCGGAATCAGAATAATTGTTTATATCTCTGAAAAAGTATAATTAAATTGTTATATTGTAAATATTTCGTTTATTAATGAATTGTATAAATTATCATGATATAATTACCTTTCAGAATAAATAATATTATCCTCATTGCACAAAACTAATGTACAATTGATTAAACATTGTATAACAATACAAATAAAAATAATTGATTTCAACATGATTAATACTTTTAATTAAGTAAACATTAGTTAAATAAATTTTTCGAATTAAATTATAATAATAAATATATTAAAACATCAGAATTTAATGAAAAGTAATCATTCACTTTGATGTCATACGATATATATAGAATCAAAATAATAATCAAATAAGGTTAGATTTATCTGCTGACTTATTTTTTAATTCTGCAATGTTATATCAATTATTTATAACATTCATTTACATAGCAATATACCTATAATGACACAATCTAAATCTAATTATAAATAATAAACTACATTTTTAATAATTATTCCTAATCACGCTTTTCATTTGTTACAAAGATTATATCAATAAATAAATAAATAGTAAAAAATTAAATAACAAGTGACGTGATGACTGTTACATGTCGAGTTTAGATAGGAAACTTAATTTCGTACAGTGCTGCCACTCAAAATCTGCGGTGGAAAGACGAAGCTCTTAACCCTATCGGTAATTTGCATATAATCATTTAAGTAATATATGTTTTATTTCTGTTAGTGCATATCAGACAAAAAAGACTGTTCTTTAAAAATTGTTTGTTTTTCAATAATTGTATATATAATCTTTATACATTAATCTATGTTTAAATAGACACATAGTAGGAACATTCTGCTCTCATGTTGCATTTATAGTTCATATTTTATCCGTACTTGTCTCTGAAGTCGCACTCCCTCCGAACAAATGTTAGTAGACAATCATAAAGGTTAGAAAAGAATATGGCACCACGCCGAGAAAATCGTGTCAATCATAATGTTACAAATAGAGCTTCAAAAAAAAATAAAAAGGTCTGGGTGGACATTTTTAAATTGCCTCAATTATGGCCATTATTAATGGATCCAACAAAATTTGGAAAAACCTCAATGTTATTTATTATATTGGAAATAATTTTGAATGTATACATTATCGAAAAAGTGCCTTATACAGAAATCGACTGGGAAACTTATATGCAACAAGTGGAGGGTTTTTTAAATGGTACATTGGATTATTCGAATCTGAAAGGTGATACAGGGCCATTGGTTTATCCTGCTGGATTTTTATATATCTTCTCAGTTTTATATTATATTACTGAGTATGGAAGACAAATTAAAACAGCTCAGTATATCTTTGCTTTCCTCTACATAATATTATTAATATTGGTCTTCCGTATTTATTCAAAAACTAAAAAGACTCCACCTTATGTATTAATTTTGATGTGTTTTACATCATATCGAATACATTCTATATTCGTCTTAAGACTTTTCAATGATCCAATAGCTATGATATTATTATTTTTAAGTCTAAATGCATTTTTAGATGACTATTGGTATTTAGGAAGTATTATTTACAGCCTTGCTGTATCTGTTAAAATGAATATTTTATTATTTGCACCAGCACTTCTTACTACATATTTATGCGTCCTTGGAAAAATGAAAACTGTAATACATTTATTCATTTGTGCAATAATTCAAATAATTGTAGGCTTACCATTTTTAATTGAAAATCCAATTTCATATGTCAAAGGAGCATTTAACTTGGGAAGAATTTTTGAATTTAAATGGACAGTAAATTGGCGATTTTTACCAGAAGAAATATTTGTTAATCCATACTTTCATATTTTGTTATTGATTTTACATTTATCATTGTTAGCCATTTGCGCGCCAAATTGGATAATTTATTTGAAATCCTATGCAAAATTAAAATTAATGGAAATAGATTTAAAACCTCAATTTGATGAGGGGAAAAAAATAGATATGTCAACGATGAGCCAATTGTTTATTCTTCCATTATTTTTAGCTAATTTTATCGGCATGGCGTGCAGTAGATCTTTACATTATCAATTTTATGTATGGTACTATTATACATTGCCATATCTTGCATGGTGTACAAATTACAAAACTGTAACGAAACTTTCAATATTAGGAATAATAGAACTTTGTTGGAATACTTATCCAAGTACAATTTTGAGTAGTTTTGCTCTGCAAGCTTGTCATATAATTTTATTATATAATTTGATCAAAAAGAAACATACCAATACAAAGACTAAATGAAATTATTATCCGTGTAAAACTGAATTTGTTATCTAGTCTTTATTCTATTCAACAAATCAAATTGTATATTTATCAAATGTTTGTTATTTCAAAAAAATAACGAAAAATTGAAATATTGAAAATATATTTTTTACAAACATTTTTCAATAAAATAACTACAAATGAAATATATATATATATATTTATATTTTTATTATAATATAAACCATTTTTGGTATCATTGTAATTGTTAACATTGTTTTCTAAACAAATTGTATGTATTTGAATCATAATAGAACAATATAAAATATTTAAATATACCTCTCATTCTCTCTTCTTTCTCTCTGCAATCAATATCAGCTGATACCAATTCAAATATTTGGCGCGAAATTTAAAAAAAAATTTTATTTGTTTTTTTTTTTTTTTTAATACTGAAGATCCTATAAATTGACATTCTTTATAAAACAATTCATATCTAGTTATGTGGTTTCTGTTTAAATCATTTTAACTTTAAATATTTTTCAATTTATAAATTTAAAAATTGTGTGTATAGAAAGAGAAAGATAGAGAGAGAGAGGAAACGTCATAAATATTGTGTTTATAAATATCTGCAAAGAATGTCTAAAAGAGGATACTTAAACATATGGTTTTGTTTCATTATTTAGTGAAATTAAATATATTGTTAATGGTATGTACGATTAAAGAATATAAGAATATTTTTGTTTAATAATAGTAAGAATATAATTGGTTGATTTTATTTTTCATCTTAACCTCAAATAAAAATATATATACTTGTATTTTTAAAACAGTGATTATAATTGTATATAAATATATAGTCAATAAGTGTTACATACTTGTAAATAATATTTATAATATAAAAAGCTATACACAGAGAATAATGTCTGGAACAAGTAATTCATTATCGTCAAAACCTTCTACGTGCGAATCAGAATTTGTTGGTATCGATGGTGAATCATGTGAGAAAGAAAATAACTCGTTACTTTCTGATCCTATCTCAGAATTTCATTCTAAAATATTAAATGATGAGATAAATACAAACAATTTGGTAATATATTTGTAATAATATAATTTATAGATATTTCATTTTTTAACATATATAAAATTAAAAATTATATATTTTTAAGGAATCTGTATTAGCAAAGCAATGTGAAGAAAGAAATGATACTAGTTTTACACGTGGTTGTATGTTTTGTAAAATGAACTTTACTGAATCACGTCTTATGTATATAAAACATCTTTCAGAGAAACATAATTTGTATCTTGGTAAACCAGAACATTTAGTTTTCATAGATGAACTCTTAGATAGAATACAACAAAGTATTGAAAGGTAATTAGAATAAATAATTAGTGTATGTCTCTAATGGTATTAAAATCAATCAAATTATGTTATGGTTTAAGTATTGAACAAATGTTTCATTTTTAGTTTAATCTGCATATACTGTGAAAAGGTTTTTACAGACCGTAAAGCATTAAAGGAACACATGCGTAAGAAGTTGCATAAACAAATAAATCCATACAATAAATCATTTGATAAATTTTATATAGTTAATTATACAGAGTCTAATAGAACAAGAAAATATCAAGTAACTATAATATGGTGTTAATTATTAACTTGAATATTATTGCATCTTTTTATATCATTAAATATATATATATATATATTGTTTTATCTTTAAAGAAAAATCACAGATATACTAAAGATAGTGGATTAAGCAGCGAAAGTGAAGACGAAGAATTATTATGGTCTGGTTGGAATGATGAAGGCATTAGTATACTTTGTTTATTTTGTAAACATTCTGATAAAGATTTTCTTACCATTTTACAACATATGAAGGAACAACACAATTTTGATTTTAAAAAGGAATCAGAAGATTTAACATTTTATCAGAAAGTATGTATATATATATATATATATANTATATATATATATATATATATATATATATATATATATATATATATATATATTTACACATTTATTAGATGTTATAGTTTATACCATTAATAATAATAAATGTTTAGGTAAAGCTGGTAAATTATATAAGACAACAAATTCGTATACGATGTTGCATTTTATGCGAAGAAAAGTCTGATAACATATTGGAACATATGACTCAATTAAATCATTACAAAATACCTAAACAACACATATGGGATCAACCAGAGTTAGTAATTAATTTTTAATATAAATTCATAAAAAAAAGAAATAGATAGTTCCTTCCATCATAACACAAAAGTATAATATATTTTTTTTTAGATTTTATTTCCCTATGAATGAAGATGATTCATTTTTATACAGTTTGGATACGGATAGTGATAGCTCAGATGAAGGTGATATTACGAATACATTTAAAGAATTATCTGTTACAACTAATGATAATAATGAGTAATGTACATTTTTAAACTATTATTTATTTTGTAAGAAATAATTGAATATACATCAAATGAAATGTTATTGTTTTCATAATTTTATTTTAATCAAGTAGTTAGTGAATATTTTTTATTGATATATTTAATACTTTTTTTATTAAAGAAATTAAATACATATGTGTATACGGATTTATTCTATCTTTAGTAAATATAATGGCAACTAAAAGATTATTACAAAGTTGCGATTCATATGTAACAACAATAAATAACATTTGTAATAACAATAAAAAGGAATTAAAAGAAAAAGATTGTTATTTAGGTTACTCAGATAATAATGATCTTATTAAAATAAGAGTAGAAGGTCTTATCACTGCAGTTGCTTTTCACAAAGCAAGATTATCCGCACAGAAGCTTTCTCAACATTTATCATATAAATATGCTATACCACAAATTAGAGAAATGTTTCAAGTAGACTGGTATGAATATCTTCAAAAAATGAAAGTGGTAAAGAATTATCTGTATTAATTAATTTTTTCCATTCTATATAAATATACAGCTGAATGTTTTTCTTTTTTTTTTTTTTATAGCACATTGGTGGTAAAATGTGGATCTTAAAAAGACACGTTGCAGTTTTTATAAATGATTCGTTCATAGGCAGTGACATTGATTTTTTCGATTATCTCAATGAACTGTATGTTTTTCATATGCCCAAAAATATTGAATATTATGAAACACAAGCTAAAGAATACCATAAAAAATTTATTGAAAGTACAAAGGTAAATACCATAAGTATATATGATAATAATTAAAAATGGTGAATATTTTTTCAGAGAATTTACGTGTACTTTACATTCACTTTGGATGGATTAACAATGGGTTCCCTTTTATTCATGGTATAAATTCTATTACAAAATAAATATATCCGACTAATATTTTCATTTCATTTGATTATTTTAAATGAGAAGAATATTTATGCAGTTATATTCCGACTTGCTACCAAAAACTTGTAAACATTTTCTAAACTTTTGTACTGGAAAGTATAAGAATATAAAAGGTTTCAAAGTTTCACATTACGTAAGCACTTCTGTTCATCGTATAGTAAAAAATGGATGGATTCAACTTGGTGGCAAGTATTTCAATGAAAATAAATGAAGCATATATATATATATATATATATATATATATCACAGCATTATTTTCTTTTTTATTATCAATGTAAACTATTTATGCATGAATACTTTAGATATTCAATTAGACAATATTAATTTGAAGACGACTGTAATACCTAAAATTGCTGATGAATCATATTGCATACCTCATGATCGAAGAGGAATCTTATCAATGGCAAATAATGGGAAACACTCTAATGAATCTCAAATAATTGTTTCTTTAAAACCTAATCCATGGATGAATTATCATTATGTAGCTTTCGGGTAAATGTTAATATATTTTTTATAATAATAATAATTATTTCATTGTGTGAAGAATCAATTTAAAAGTAATATTTAATTATAATATTAAACAAAAAAGGCAATTAGTAGATGGTATTCAGACATTACAAAAAATAGAAGATATTCCAACATATTATGAATCTCCTATAAAAGAAGTTATTGTATCTCAATGTGGTGAATATATTTTTGATCATAAACCCAAAATGGAACCGGAAACAGATATATTTCTTGTTAGCATAGCTATGATATCTTATGGTTATATATCCTATTAAATATTTTATGATTATTATATATATATATTTATTCAGGAACGCCAACCATGGATAAATGTTGGAGAAAATAATATAATCCATCAATATCCATATAATACTTATTCAGATATTTCTTTATGGCTTGATAATATTATTGATGAAATAGATATTCGTGATACAGCATCTCTTCTTATTGCTGAACGATATTTAAGTAGTTTATACTGTCTATCAACAGATTATTTATCAGGTGTTGTATTTTAAAATATATCATTTCATTTTGAAAATCTTCCAAACTTTCTCATAATAAATTTTTTTTTTAATAATGACTATATTGTTGTTTGTTAGAAAAAAGTGTTAATCATTTTGATAAAGATCAAGAACTCGATAAAAATTTAAATGTCAATTGCAAATTAAAATTACGTGAATTATTAGAAGATTTTCAACCCGAAACAATGTGTAAAGAAGAAAAAATGATTTTCATAGAAAAACTTTCTGAAATCATTGTTTTATATGCTTTCAATTTTATCCATAATGAGGTAAAGCTAGAAAAGTTTTATTACAATATATAAAACGTAACTTTGACAATTGTTTTTTTAAGTGTATTGAACAATATACATTAAAAAATACTTATGGAATGGTACAAAAAATATTAGAATCTGCTTATGATATTGCAAGGGCAACTATTGCCAAATGTACTTGTGCAGAAATGAATAAGTATGCATGATTTATTAAATAAGAAAAAATATGAATAAATTATTAATTATTTATTTTTGTTCTTAGGCTGCTTAAAACAGAGAAACAAGATAATAAGACAATCACAGATTCATCCTTGTCTCTTATTGAAGAAATATTAAAGAAATCTATACTTCATTCTTTACAATCTACAAACGAGGTAGATTGTGAATAGATTTAACAACAAATTCAACATTTATTTAAAAAAAACATTCCATTTATTTAATATTTCGTTCAAATCGCATGCTTATTTTTCATTTAGAACAACCATATTTTTTTTTATATAATTTAAAAAATTTACAGAATACACATCATTAATTAACATTCCAAATTATATAAAATAATGATTCATTAAGAAAAATAGAATTTATCTTATTATTGTTTTATTTTAGAAAAAAGTTTTTTACCACGTCCTTTTGGAACTTTTTTAACGCCTGTACCTTTTACATTTGTTTCTTCATTCGTATCACATTTTTTATGAATTGAGTTGTATAACATTTCTGCATCACTTTTGTTCCCAACTATTTCAGCTAATTCATCCTGTAAATTAAATAATAAATAATCTTCTGTGAAATATTAATGAAAGTATTAGAATTCAGGTAATATAAATTAGTTTACTTTACCTCTGTGAGTTTAATAAGATGATCGAGTGATTTTCCTTTGTTTAAAATAGCGCATAAATTCTTCGAATGTACGCCAGGTAATTTAGAAATAAAATCTTGTATGTGAGGATTATATTTTTGAACCATCAGTTGACTATCTTCTGTATTTTCATCAACTCCAATAGTAGCTGCTTTCTCAGCACTTGGCTGATCTCTACCACTCTATATAAAAAGAATTATATTACTAAACATTGATTTTATTTAAAATCATTTAATATATTACCTTCAATTCTTCAAACAACTGTGCAGATGCATGAGGACTTTGTGACCACACGAGTTTTAATTTAGGAAAATGTAAAGTTAACAATTGCAATTTGGATGTAACTGCAAAACTGTTAACATCTTTACCCATATAATAACAACCCTTAAAAGTAAAGAAAAATCTTTAGTATCATTTTTTCATATAAAATATCGAAAAAATACAATTGATTTTAATATACTAATTACCTGAAAACAAAATGGTTTATTCTGATCAAATTCGATAAGAAGCATTGGTTTAGAATAATACCTAGACATAGCAACAGCTTGATTGTATAATCTTCCAGAATTAAGGGATCCAATTAAATCAGATACACTTTTTCTTTCGATACAAATTTCTGGAGATAAAATATAATCTCCAATCTAATTCATAAATAATATTTAATTATAAATATATATACATATGATTTTAAAGCTGACATTAGATATATTATTAACTTACAGTTAAAGTTACAGGCTCAATTTGTATACCACGTGAATGTAAAATGGATGGCAATTCACTTTGAAATTCTCTCATATCAACTATGATTTTATTAACAACATGTTTCTGCTCTTGTTCTTGATCTCCCTTGCGCGAATTCAGTTCTGTTTCGTTATCCAACTGTGTAGCAAATTTTAAGCAATCTTCTGATTTACCATCTTGATCTTCAGGTATAACCATTGTCTATAAAAATAAATATATATATATATATATATATATATATATGAATAAATTTATAAAATATCTTAAAATCGAAATAATTTAATTAATGAAATTCTTACTTTCTTATTATTGATTAAAATATGGAAAGATTCTTTCTCTCGTCGTAAAGATGTTAAATATTCCTGTTCTTCGACAGATCCTTCATAAATTAAAAAATATACTTTCACATTTATCGAAGGATTACTATTTTGATATATCTATAAAAAAAAAAAACAAATTACAATAGAAATCACGGAATAATAATAATTATAAATTATATACGTACTTCCAGTTGACGTATGACTGCAATATCAGCTACATACATTATTATGTTACTAGGTTTAGCTTCTTTTAATGTACGTTGTACTGCCATTGGATCACCGTCTTTCTTTAAAGATTGTACAATGAGTATAGGTGCAGTTGTTGCAATTGCTGTTAGATCTAATTCATTCATCTGTAAAGTCATACATTGTATGAGGTCAAATATTATTTATATATTTTCTTTCATTTATTAACATATATATTATTTAACATACTTGAGAACAATCTTCAAATAAAGTTTGATGATGCTCATTTTCATCTTCATCTTCATCTTCATTTTTTTGAGCAATAGATTGACTTTCTGTAGCAGTTTTTTGCGTTAATGTTAAGATATAACTATCTTGTGTATCCAGTATCTCTTCATCATTTTCAGATTCAGTTGTGATTGATTTGTCGTCATTGTCGGGAGTATTACTTAAAAAATACAATATTATACAATAATCATAAATAAAGATTATATATAATTAATTAGAATCAATATTATTAATATAAAAATAATTTCTAATAGCATACTTTGATTTGGAAAGATTATCATTTCGTAATTTTCTATGTGCTTCATTAAGTAAATATTCATTGGCTCCAATAGTTAAATAATTTTTCAATTGATAACATGTTTGACTATCTTGAACCAAAATAAGAATTTTTTCTGGACTATCATCATCGGGATCCTCTTTATTTTTATTTCGTTGAATTTCAAGCAATACTTCAGTTAATGCTATCCATTTTGGACTTGGTTCTGGCTTTAATTCTGATGATAAATTTTATTGTTACATATAAATACTGTATTAATATTAAATGTGATATAATAATGCATTTTAATAATAAATTATAGTTACCATTTTTTTCTGTATAAACCCTATCTTTTGCAAATTTAAACAGATTTTCTACTGCATCCAGCATTAACCATCCAGAACTTTTCATAGCATATTCCATAGTTCGTAAACGTTTTAATGTAGAATAAAATGATACACAATCTTTGTATGTTAAGGACCTATAGATGATAGATTTATTTGATACAAAATAAGAACAGTATTTCAGTAGTCTGTTTTATAGATATACTTACATGAGGAGTCCTCGTAATGTTTTCAAGTCAGATAGCAATTGTTTACTTGTAGAACTAAGTTGATGCCAAACAGGGTCTAATTGTGATTGGAGTTGTTTGTGAAATTTTTTAGCTATTGCATTTTCAACTGTTAATTCTTCCAAATCTAACTGTAAATAATACAAGTATATTATATATGTATTTTTAAATTTAAGAGATGTTTTTAAAGAGAATAGAGTATACAATTTAAATTTAATACATACATATTTATTAATACGTTTTAATTCTTTCACCACATAGTTCATTGCATCTAATAAAGCAGTTTGTATGTGTAACATTTTATATGTAATTTTCACGTGAAATTCTAAAACTTCAGGCTATAATAAATAAAAATTAATATATATATATATATATATATTTTCAAATTTATTTTATAATAGATAAAGTTATTATAAACAAAATTAATATAGTTACCTTACGTTTCGACAAACTGTTATTGACAATTGTGTGAAAGCGAGGCCATAGATATAATCTTTTAATGAAAAGAGTTTTCATTACACGTTCCACATTAGAAAAGCCAAAAGTAAAAGATAATGCCGAATTAGAAAATGCTTTGATAAAACCTGTCTATAATAAAATACAAGAATATTAATCATAGAACTAATATTATAAAATTACAAATAATGAATATTAATTAATTGTTCATATCACCTTATTTATTTGTCTATACAATCTCACTGCAAAAGCTTCTTGATACGAACGTAAAATGTTATGAGCTCTATAAACAAGAATTCCAGTAACTAAATGCAATGGTACTCTATTTTTTAATAAATCAACGACCAAAATTCTGCCTGGTATAAATAATATTCCACCATCCAGATACAACTGTTCTCTATAAATGAAAATATTCATTAGAAGTATGTTTTCATACTTTGAATAGTAAATAAATATTAATTAGATTAATAATAGCATACCTTTCACTGGATGTACATTGACCTGTTACAATACGAGGTAAAGTTTTAGTACCCAAACTTTTTAATTCATCTATGAAATATTTTTCATCGGTTTCCAATGTTCCCAAAACAATAACAAGATTTCCAGGATCTAAGTAAACTTTTAATAGATTTACAAATACAGTCTCTATCCCCAGACCCCTAAATGAAAATAAAACGTTTTCATAAATACATATAAAGAAAAAAGTATGATATTTTTCAATCTATAAAACACTTACTTTGCTGTAATTACTAAACCATCCTCCTGCAATACTTCTAATAACATCTCATTTTCATATTCCAACATAATGAAATGTATTTATTTAACTATAAAATTGATAATACTAGAATAATCTATTATAAAAATGATATGTCTCATTAAAGAAGTATTTCAAATAATACGTCCCCAATAGATCTCAATAAAGTAATTAAAAATGGTAGATTTTTCTTCTGTAAAATAATTCAATTATTATAGAAATAGTTATAATAAATTTAGGCAATATATTTTTCAAATCATACTTTGCTATCACTATCCTTGTAAATATTTTCTGTTTTCTGATCATAAGTTGTATCTTCATCCGTTTTTATAACCTCATATACCAATAAAGTATATTTACTTAATTCATGCGATGGATGTCCATACACTCCTATGCTAACAGGCCTTTTGAAACTGAAAATTAATTGTTACATCAATCTTTAGCTTTTTTTAAAAATAACATTTAATGTACCTATCTGGTATAACTATAATATCTTCTCCACACGTTGTAGATTGTAAATTATAATGGTCTGGTTCATAAGTTGGTTTTGTTGTTGTATGCGATGCATACAAATCTGCATCTCCAGTTCTATAGTAATTCAAATGACATTTAGTTATTTTTCAATTATTTACAAATTTGTTTAATTTCATTTACTTACTGTGATATTAGTTGAATTTTAATAGTACCCTCGTACATTAAACTATAATATTTATAAGATCCTCCTAATACATCATCACTGACATAATGTAATAAATCATCATTCAATGACAAAATGCAAGGTAGCTGAAATATAAATGTTTAAATGTTTTATAATACATTTGTACAAAAAAATTATTCAATTTAAACTTGATCGTTGTCATTTGTTAAATTCATAAATATATATAATTTACCAAAAGTAAATTGAAGAATATAATCTTCATAGTACAATGCTGTTCACCATTGTTAAAATAAAATACAATTGTAATATTTATATACAGTTTATAAAAGCTAGTATTTTTTATAACATATGCATAATATCATTTTACACTATTTATAGATTCGGTTATGACATCGAACAATTGCGTAAAGCTGTAGAATTTAATATTAAAAATTTATTTATATAGAGATTGTTGAATACACAATATTACTTCATATTGAGCATGAATCATAAAAATCTAGAGAAGCGAATAGTTGCAAGTTGTAAACACCAGATGACGATGAAATTCGTCGTCGGAAAAAATTCAACATTTTAGTAAATTTTAATTATTCATTAGATTATGATATAATATTTGGAATATGTAAATACAATAATATTTGTTTTTCTAATCATCTGTATTATTTTTAAACAAATTTTGATAATTATTATATTTTATCCATACATACAAAGATACACAATGTAGATCTTATTTAAAATGGATTAAGAATTTTTAATAATTATGAAATATTTAATTCTTTAAATTATATATGTTGATTTATATTTTGGATTAAAAATTCGTATAAAAAGAATTTTCAAATGAAATTTATTTACAGGATACATCTAAGGTAAATTCTTAATATTTTTGTCAATTTGAGTCACGTAGTACACGTAGCAAAGTAAATACTTTTGGCGCTGATTTTATTCGTTTGTGGAGTGATTGTTTCTCGTTCTTGTTCGTTAAAAGTTAACTATAAATTTGAGATTTATAAAGAAAAATAAGTAAAAAAGTTATTCTTTTTTTAATACACCGATAAATAATAACGGTAATATTTTATTAATAATTAGAATTTTATTATTACTTTGAAGAATACTCTGTGTATAATTACTTTGAAATATTTTACTTGCATTCAGGTACATCAAACTGCCATGACACTTTATAATGGATATTAAAAGTGCATTTTATAATATGTAAATAAGCTGTGTAATAATTGAAAGTTTATTGAAGAAAGATGATTGAAAAATATCATGGCAGGTAAAGTTTATCATTCATATTACACGAATTGTCAATCTCATTATTATAATGTGAGTTTCCATAATAAATAATTTAATTATTCTTTATAATTAATTATTCTAAGTAATGCAAATACTGTTATATGATTATTGCATTGTCATTAGAATCATAAATATTATTTTTATATATATTATATTTTTTAAATAATTACAATTAACTTTTTTTCATGTCATTTGTAGAAATCATCATCGTTTTCATAACTTCCGAATTATCGAGTTGTTTCATCCGAAGGTAGATGGCGGTTTTGTGTCATTGAAGATATTTTAAGATAAGAGAAGAGGTCAGTAAATTTTAAAGAATGTCGAAAATATTTCTAAATTTATATACAATTGTATGCAAACATTCGAAAATCTTCATTATTAATGATTACATTAATTTATTTAATACAGACTGTAAACACGAAGATATACAGGAATAATTTTATTTGTTCCATTATCTCAAGGAATAAATGAAAAAAGAAAGGGAACATATTAACAATTAGTTAAACATATTTAGTCATATTTAGTCTACCTTGTACAAGTATTTATTATTTAAAATGAGATTAGAACAGCCGGTTCTAGCGGATGTAACATGATCGTACCATTGACGCAGTTAAACTTTACAGCCATGGTGCACACTGTTTAACATGTGTCGTGTTGCTATAGAGACTAGCGATGCATACGTGTACACAATATCTCATTTTATTTTTATATTGTTAAATCAGCTTATCGTAGGGTGCCAATCATTTTTAATTAAAACAAACAATGCAGGCTCCTTGGAATATTATCTGATTATTGAACGTTCTACGACAATGCTTCCATAGTTGAAAAGAGAGAGAAAGAGAGAGAGAGAGAGGAGAGAGCTCTTGTTCGCAGACCCTTTAAAACGCGTTCACCTATCCTCACGATCATCTATGATATCCGGTGCATCGCTATCAGTAAACGGGGTAATTACTTCTTTGCAACGAAAAGGGCTCCCTTGAATGTATGTAACGTGGGGAGCTAACAATGAACAATTAAATGATTACACTGCTTTTTGCCAAGAGGATAGAATAACAACGATACAAACTGCATCTTTTATGTTAGCCTTTTCTTTTATTTGTAACAGGAGTATAACCTTCAGATAGGTATACCATTTCTTCGAGCAATTGAAAACTATTTTTCATGCTTTTCCGTGCGGAGTGGAAAACACAGGCCAGGTATCGATCGGTTTCGACGCGTCGTCCTCGTCCTCATCCTCGTCCACGTCCTCGGGACCGGTCGATAACGAGGAAATGCGAAAACACGATGGGTAAGAAGATTCTCCATCCTCGTTTAATGTTTTATCGCTCAAGCTAGAGTTCCGAGTGGTCAACAGTGGAGTTTATAAAAATTTCTTTTTATTTCACATCAGACAGGATTCGAGATTGAATTATCGCTGCTTGTTTGCCGAAAACGAAGGTTCCTTCGCTAAAAGGAGAAAAAGAAAGAGAGAGAGAGAGAGAGAAAATCCTTTCTCGGTAGAGAGTCTACGAAAGAAGAGAACTCTTCTCCGATCTTCTTCGGGCGTCATCGGTATTATCCGCATCCTTCGAATCGCGATGCGCCTGGTTCGATTCCATGGGCGCAATAGGATAGGCCGTCCTTTTTCTCGCATCGACGTGTGTAAGCAGCCAGACCGGTAACAGTCCCTCTTTCCCTTCTTCCTCAGGATGTAAACAGGGTCTATGACGAGTCCTCTGCTCTTGGTGGAGGAACGAACGAAAGAAAGAAAGAAAGAAACAAACAAAGAAAGAAAGAGAAAAAGTGAATGAGAGAGAAAAAGATATAGGAGAACGCGGTTCTCTCTGTCGCGTTCGCTTAGCGACAAGGTAGAGTGGAGGAGGAGGTGGTGGAGGAGGAGGAGGAGGAGGCCGAGAGAGCTGTGTGAATCGAGCCTAAGGGCGAGGAGAGCACGGTGAAGGTTCGCCGGTGGTGTGTTGGTGGGAGAGGAAAAGAGGGGAGCTTAAAAAAATGTGTAGGTGCGCGCGCACCCGCTTTGTCTCTCTTGTCGGTGGTGCGCACGGCGGTGGTGGGGGGTAGCATGGACCACGAGGGGCCACAGGGGTCCGTGAGCGGAGCATGGCGACTGCATCCTTTCAGTCGGCCGGTGAACCCGCGTGCCGTACGGTTGTTTCTTCGTTTTTCCGCACCGCCCGTGCGTTTTATCTCTCTCTATCCTTACGTTTCGCGGTTTCTATCTTTCTTATAATTATCTTCCCTTAATTTTCTTCCAATAGTTTGCTTATTATTTTTTTTGGTTTTGATTTTTCAAATATAGAGTGAACCCCCATATTTTTTTTATCCGATCAAATAGTAAGAATCGTCGCGTGTGATATTCCTGATCCTTTTTCATTGACGTTGTATACACGAGCACCGTGCATACATTTTTTTTTTTTGGCATATATATATCTTTCTTTCTCTCTCCTCCTTTCTTTCTTTCTATTTACTTACTTCCGTCCGTGAAGTTTCCTTGCTTCACACACTGAAGATTAAACCTACGAGATTCTCATCCGAGAGAAGGAAGAATCCTCTCGCGCTGGACCTTGTGGATTTTTCTTCGACGTTTCGTCATTCATCCTCTTCATCGTACACGTACACGGGCGTTAAGCCTTTGAGAACTTCTCCTGCATGGTGAGTAGGAACAAAAAAAAAATTAAGATCTATTTACTCTTAAAACCCCGTCTTTTTAGGTCGTCGTCGAACAATCTTCTCCGTCCTTTTAAATAATTGATTTGAATCATTTGAAACATATATCATAGATTTTATTTAAATGTGAAAGGGGTAAAAAAAAAAAAGAAATGAATAATCGTTGAAGCGAGAAAGGGATGTTTTTCACACGTGCATGCTGCTGACTGCCAGTGGGTTTCTCGAGCGCGGGCTCTCGAGTGACGCAACGAAGAAAGAGATGCAACGCGTTGCTAGATAATTTTACCTTCTCTGGGTCTCTCTCTCTCTCTTTCTCACTCTCTTGTTTTCGTACATATCGCAATGAGTGATATACCCTATCTTTGAGAGAACCAAAGGGGGATCTTGAGAAGTGTTCTCCTCTCGACACGTACGAAGAAAGACTTTCTTCTTCTTCTTCTTCTTCTTTTTCTTCTTCTTAGGAAAATAATGTTACCAAGAAAGTACTGAAAATTTTTCAACCTATCTACAGGAAACGAATGTATTTTATTTTATTTTTTTTTTGCTACATATGAAAAAATAATATTCGATCATTAAAATGTATCTCAAATCGTGTGAGTGTTTTTTTTTCCACGAAACGGATATCGTAAGCTTGAAGATTTATTATAACATTTATAACGAAAAAAAAAAAACGGGTTAAAGTTTTTCAAAGAAGCGATTAAAAGGAATGACCATCAATTGAAGAGATTTACCCGTGAGCACTCACACGAGAGAACATGGCGGTATCAATTTAAACGTGTTCGTTGTCATCCTGACTTTCTCGCTAATGAGCGAAAAGTGCGACAGTTGCGATAAGATGCGTTTAACCGTTACTTTCTTATTTTTTTTCTCTCTCTCTCTCTGTCTCTCTCATTTTTCGAATGATTTTAATATATTCATGAAATCGAAATATACATACATATATATAAATATATGTAAATATAAGGGATCAATCTATCTTTCCTATCAAAAGATTTTCACTCTGTCGTCAGTATCTCGCGTCACTGTAATTATCCAGATATCGTTGTTAACCCGAGTATATTCGACATAGGAAACTTGTAATCGGTAGCTGATCGTGGCTAACGACCGTGATGTTTTAAGATCCTTTAAGAGCTCCGGATTCACTGTAATTACAGTATATATAATGATAAGCTGCTAGTAGGCAGCAGCTACAGGTCGGTCGGTAGCCATAGACTTTACTAAAACAACTTTAACACTGTGTAGGTACAGTTTTCTCTTTTCGAGAATGTGTTTTGCATGAAATAAAAGAGAGGAAAAGAAGAAGAAGAAGAAGTAACATCGGTAAGGTCGTTTTCTTCCTTTACTTTTTCTTTCATCGACGAGAAGGTAGTAAAAGGAAGAAGGCGCGGAAGAAATTATGGGTTGCTAGAAAGAAACCAAGTCTCTTTCTCTTTCTCTTGTCGGTTATATAGAGAAGATAAAGAAAAATAAAGGAAATCAAACAAC